TCTTGAGCATTTTGTTTTTTTGTTGTTGTTGAACATTATTCCTTCTAAAGAATTATTATTGTTGGGACCCCTGGTGCGCGACCTCTGCGCCGCGCCTAGGCCGCAGCTACATTTTCATCATTTTTTCGCGAAAGCTTCAGAAAAGTGGATGAGCTCCGGATCCGGTTTTTTGTTGACGCTCGTTTTCCCTTGCAAAAAACAATAGAAAATGAAAATTCTTGTTTTTACTTGATCAAATTGCAAGAATCCCTTGCAAAAAATAAGGTAAAGTGGACATTCGTGCGCGCAAGACGAAATCCTTCCAAAACCTTAGGTTTCGTAACGATTTTAACATAAAAACATCAAAAACCCAATGGTTTTTTAAGAAAAAATTGTCAAAATGTCCTTCCGCGCGCGCTGTCCGAATCCCACAAAACCAATGGTTTTTCAACATTTATGTTACATGAGCTCGCGCGAGCTACTTTTTCTTGTTCTAACATAATCAAATTTCAATAATCCCTTGCAAAAAATAAGGTAAAGTGGACATTCGCGCGCGCAAGACGAAATCCTTCCAGAACCTTAGGTTTCGTAACGATTTCAACATAAAAACATCAAAAACCCAATGGTTTTTCAAAAAAAAATGTCCAAATTTCATCCCGCGCGCGCTGTCCGACTCCCACAAAACCAATGGTTTTTCAACATTTATGTTACATGAGCTCGCGCGAGCTACTTTTTCTTGTTCTAACATAATCAAATTTCAATACTCCCTTGCAAAAAAAAGTAAAGTGGACATTCGCGCGCGCAAGACCAACAAAAAACACGACGATCTCAGGAACTTGCCCCAAAAATGTGACAACTCCGCTCTCTCTGTCTCTCTCTCTGTCTGCTCTCTGTCTCTCTCTCTGTCTGTCTGTGTCATGTATTGTATGTCACAATTGCAGGATGCTGGGCACACGCGCGCCCCGAATAAGTGACCAAGTTCTGTGGGTGTGTACCCCACGCCAGTGTAGTAGCCACGGTCGTCCGCACGCCACGAAGTGAAGTGTCCCAACGTCATAGGGCGGGAAGCTGGGTTTGGGTGGTCGCGAAGAGTCGTTTGGATATTTGGTAGAGCTTGAACTGCCCCCCCACGAAGTGGGGGTATTGTCTCGCGTCGCATGAAAACCCTGGCACTGGTGAGAACACTGAGCGTTCGGGTAACATGATTGTTGTTGTTGTTGTTGTTGTTATTGCTGTTGCTGTTGCTGTTGCTGTTGCTGTTGCTGTTTTGCTGTTGTTGTTGTTGCTGTGGTTGTGGTTGTGGTTGTGGTTGCTGTTGTTGCTGTTGCTGTTGCTGTTGCTGTTGTTGCTGTTGTTGTTGTTGTTGTTGTTGTTGTTGTTGTTGTTGTTGTTGTTGTTGTTGGTGTTGTTGTTTCATCTTTCGCCCAAAATCCCCCTGTAGGGGGACACGCCTGACTTGACGGTAGGCTCGCGTCGCGTCGACCTCCACGCCGAACGCCGCAGGCGACGCAGAGGCGGTCGATGCCGAACGATCGGACGTTTCGGAGTCGGTCGATGTTTGGGGGAGCCAACGCCACGGTCGGCACGACACGCGCCTACTGTGCCCAGCGCGGCGGCGCGCATCCCACGTCTGCCTCGGAACGCGCCGAGGGCTCTCGCCGCTCCGATGGGGAAGCGTTCGTGGCCCTTGGCTTTGCTTCGCCCTGCCGTCGGAAGCAGAGGGCCGCGCTCGCGCGGGCACCCTCTCCAGCTCGCCGGTGCCGGGAGCGCGCGCGAGGGCGGACACCCAGGGGTTCCAGCACTGCTTCTTATGGCGTGGGCGGGCGGGTGGGCGTGGGCTTGGCCCGCCAGTTCGCTCGAGGGGCTAGCTTGGCCCTCTCCTCCTTCTTCCTCTCCTCATAATTGCCTCGATACGCCCGTTTTGAAACGCAACACGTCCCGTGTTCAAGACGTCCGTGCCAATACGTTGCGTGTTGGCTCCACGTATTGGACCACGTTTTGGCGAATGTATCGCGTCGGACCTACGTGTTCAGCCTACGTGTTGAGCTCCGTATCAATACGATACGTGTTGCGTATTGCGTATCGGGGCAGTTGAGCTCCTCATCCTCGTTCCCGTCGTCATCGTCCTCCTGGTCTTCCTCGTGCCTCGTGCCCCATGCCATCTGAGCTCGTCCGGGTTGTGATCGCCCTCTTCATCTTGTCCGCCGACTCTTGTCCGTTGCCTCGTTCCCATCATCCGTGCTCATCATTCCAATTTCTTCCCCCTTCTCCCTGGGTCTGAACTGGCGCGCATGTTAAGCTCCGCTTCTTCGCCAGACTGCTTGCCTCCCACCGCTCCGCGAGAGCACTCTCTTTCCTGCAAAAGTCTGAACTGACGCTGATGTTAACTCCACCTCCTTGTCTCCTTCCTACCCAGGTCTGCAGCCTCCTTCTCATCATCCTTCGTTGCTTCCTTCCTACCCAGGTCTGCAGCCTCCTTCTCATCATCCTTCGTCATTCCCCCGATGTATCCATATCACCCCCCTTCCTCCCAATCTCTAAACTGGCGCGGGTCTGAAACTCCAACTCCCTCTCATCTTCCTCTCCTGGTTGCACGCGTCCCCATCCGCGAGAAACCACATCGAGGCAAACGAGGATACTATTTATATCATCGATGCCAGTGTGCCAGCGCCGCAGCCCATCAGGATAGAGGTTGCGTTGAATCTCCACTCCAGCTCAGGCAGGGCGCTGGAGTGGAGCGGGTCTCGAAGACAGCCTCCATGTCCACAGTCTCGTTCCCCTCTTCCTTCCTCACCGCTCCTCCTACTCCTTGTCTCTTCTCCCTCTCGAAGGCATCTTGGATGCTTCTCCTGGAGGCTTGTCTGGG